AAATGACCTGTCGACATATTTTATTGTTCACTGAGGTGAGTGGTGCCGTCTATTTACATTTGAAATTTCATATTTCTTGTATTTATTTTATTTGTTTACGTGAGCTTTGCATGTGGAGAAATTCGACTTAAACAATAGGCTTTGGTTGCTAAGTCGCTAAGATTCACGTGTAAGTTTAGAAAAATAGAAAATAAATGGGTGATTTGTTTTGTTTTGTTTTTTTTAGTTGTGGATCCAAGCATTTTTAAAGACTTGCCCCAAAGTGTATTTATTTAGTTTGTTTATTGTTTTGTTTTTTTATTTTGAATGAGAGGTAAGCACAGATGAGTCAGATAGCCAGCTAGTTTGAATCAGTTTTCTAAAGGGGGAAGTACACATTTGTGTCAAATGTGTACTTTCCCCTTTTGGAAAACTGTATGTGTGGACAAATGACAAACACAACTGATGTCGTTTTGCCAAATGTCTTCAAAGACCCTACGTTTTCACTCTCCACTCTCACCCACTTTCTCCACCCAGAAACATTGTCTCCGTCCTAATGCTGCGCTCTGTCTCCTCCGACATTTGTCACTGTTATCTTATGTTTCAGCCTCCAGTGTCCCCTGTGCTCCACTCTGCCTTTCTTTCTAATTGAATCCACAGGAGTGAATTCCAACGGGCAAGAAATGGGAAGGGGGAGGGTTGATGTCAGAGGCCAAAGGTTGGGTTATAACCTTTGTTCAGTGAGTAGAACCCTACTGTGCAGTATTTTTGGATGTGTGTGTGTGTGTGAGAGAGCGTGCGTGCGTGCATGGATAAACAGAAACAGGACGAAGTGCCATTTGATATGTATGTATGGACGAAAAATTCCAGTGCAGTCAATCTAGTAATCATGTTTATTCATAAGGTTCTAGTCAACCCTTTGTACAATACATCTACCATCGTGTTTTCTCTTGTGGTTTAATCATCTGTGCTTTTTTTTCAAATGCTGTTAAATTTGCTCATCAATCTAGGAATTCTAGAGCATAGCAGCAGAAAAGATGCGCTGATTGTTTTTGGATTTGACGCTAGCCATAATAGGTTGGAATGAAAACAAACATTCATTCGTTAAATCCAAATGACCAAACTATCCACGAATCCCAAAGACCATTTGTGGAACCAACGTGCACAAATGTGCACACGCATACACAAGCAACCTGATTGGTCGGGGGGTACAATGTGGAATAAGGAAGGAGGTAAAGAAGGGAGGGGGGGGGTAGAAAGGGGAGGAAAAGAGGAGCAGATGTTCATCAGGTCCACAACCCCCCTGTGCCCCCAGCTCCTTCTCCTCCCTCCTTTTATTATTTCACTGGTAATAGTAGCCTCTTATCTGAAGAAGCCTGTGTGAGGCTGTGATGGAATGACTTCACTTAATCATGAGTTTCGCTCGCTGTCTGTGTGCCTGTGTGTGTGTGTGTGTGTGTGTGTGTGTACCACTCGAGCACACACTCATATAAATAGTGTTGCTGCAGTGCAAATATTTGAATATCTTTATATTACACCAGCTCTTTGAATGACTGCATAGAATTTTCCAGAAGAAGGCAAAGAGGCATGTGCTGTTATTTGCACACTCAATGACTAAACTGTTGACTTAGATGCCCTAAAGGTGAGATTTCGTTTGTCTCACTTGTGACATATTAAAATAAAAGCAGAGACAGACACAGAGGGACGCAGTTGTTGGACTTTTTTTTTTGTTGTTTGCTAGCAAAGGTAAGTGGCAGTTAGCAACTGGCTACCTACCAATGGGCTTTGTTGTCGTACTTGGCGATTAAGCACTCGTCATTTCTCTACAACAACACCACATCTGGACCATAATGTGCTTGTTATTTGTCCGAGAATTAAAACAGGCAGAAAACAACCGAAACAAACAGAGTTGTGAAGTTTTTACCTCCATCATTCTTTCATAGCTAATGGCTAACGTTAGAACATGTTACAAAACTAACTGGCTGACAGGGATTTCCTCTTCACCTGTTTTAGAAGAATATAAAATACTTTACACTTAAAGTACTGTTACTATGACTCAGTTGTGTATTTAAATGTACTGACAAACATATACAAAATGGATATGTTTTTGTGTTGTCTCTTTTTTTCCATGAAGTGCAATTTGTTGTTTTTGTTTGTTTTTTTCAAACCTCCTGCGGGGTTAGGTGGTGATCAGCAGACGTAACACTGCTGTGTCATCTATAAAAACCTCTGCTGATAATAAAAAAAAAAAACCCACATGTTTCAGCAGCTAATGGCGTGATTAATTACCCTCACGGTCCCACTAAAAGTTGGGAAATTTTTAAAGCACATGGGAATTTATCCCATGACACAATATTAGATTGACTAATCTTAAATCTATACAATAAACTTCTTTTGCATCCAGATTTAGATTGCTCTTCCATCAATCATTCATTTGGCTCCTCTCTTCTCTGCTTTCCTAATATGTGTGTGGGTGTGCGTGTGTGTGTGTGTGTGTGTCCATGGTAGCTGATTCGCAGAGGGCGGGCCATTAGTTTGTTAGTTGGTTCTGCAGCTCATTGAGGTCATTGTGCTCCAAAGGCCCCAAAGCCCAGCTGGGCTCAACAAGAAGCCAGAACTCTTTTAAATCTCTCCCCAGCCTCCCTCCTTTCCTCCCCTTTCCCTCCACAAAAGCCCCCTCCTGCCCCGCCAGCCACCCATACTCTGCTTTACCCTCAGTAATCCCTGTCTAAGCCACAAAAGATTTGTTTATTGAAGTAAATTTAACTTGCTGATTAAATAAACTGTTTACAGATAACAAGTGTTTACTTAGCACAATTAGCAGAGGGGTCTTCTTACCTAGGGGCCACTCACGTTGTTGACATGTCGCTAAAAGCTTGTTGTTTTCAACGGTGGCATTTATCACAGGGCAAACAACAGGGGAGAACAAAGACAGCACTAAGACAATCTGCCAACAGTGTTTGGGTTAGCAAATATATTAAACATAATTTATTAACATGATCAATTAAAAACATGGGTAACATTTGTTCAAATGTTCAAAACGTACGTGAACTTAAGTAAACTTAAAATGATAATATAAGGGAAGTTCTTTTATGAGTCAAAAAGGAGAACACAGATTTCATTTCTAAGGAACATGTTGTGATTTTTAGGACGGAACATCTTGTTGTGATTCATGCTGTGTGTACATGACACAGGCCAGAGGTATGTATATGGAGGAGAGTCACTGACGCTAGTACAAATCACAGAAATCAGAGGATGACTGGCACAGTCAGATAGTCTTCATGTTGTAGACTCACAGGATATACCTATTTCATTACATCATCACAAATGGGAGTGGGGGATGCACACAATCCAACACACACACACTTAGCGGTGACCACTTGGCTGGACCAAAACAAAGGTTTTCGGCAGGCTTTGTTCCCAGCTGACCTGGTCCCTTTGTAAAAGAGCCTCAGAGCTACAGTGTGAGCTGGTTAAGGAACAATCAGACTTCTACTCAGAGCCCCAAGGTAGAGAGGCTTCAATGAATGCTAGGGTTTTGTAGAAACAAAAATGACCTTAAATACAACTTGTATATTGTTATCATGCATTCTCAACACACCTGTACTCAAACTCTCATCTCCACACACTGGTAGATATAAAACCATAAAGCAAAAACAAGTTGAGAAGCTTGTTATATTTAAGTTGTTGGCCAATAAATTGGAACACTGGACGTGCAGTTGAAATGCAAGCATTGTAGCAACAACAACGCAGGCACAACCTTGTGGTTAAAAAGTCTGTTTGTATTGTTCTGTCATTTAAAGAATTAAAAGCACATTTTTTAAGTGCTAAGATCATTGGCCTCAGTGTCAGCCATGGATCTTTCTATGTACTTGGCTTAGAGTCAATGTGTTTCACCGTGATATCTGTGAATATTGAGTCAACAGTAGATATTGTCTTGGCAAAAAGGGAGGAACTTGTGTCTGTTTATGTGCTTTAAGGGAGGGAGACTGTCAAGATATTCGAATGGCTCTGCTCCACAGTGGAATTTTTCACACTTCCTTCACCTTTGAAATCAAACTCTTTAACTCCTCCTCGTCTGCCTCACAGGGCTTCGCTGTCACCATATACCGTCTTTCTACCCATATGTTCTCCTGTTTTCCTGCCTTAACTTAACAATCTGCCATTTTAGATAGATCTTATTTGACCTAAATGTATAACATGATTACTGGATAGCCTGGTTTTTGCATTGGTATCTGGGTTAATTTAATACATGGATATTTTCAAATTAAACTTTACTGATAGTCTTGATGTGTACGTGATGTGTAATAGCTTTAATTCCTTCATTTCTATCTATCTATATAGCTGTCTATCTAGACAGCTAACTAGCTAGATAGATTCTATATAGCTGTCTATCTAGACAGCTATATAGCAAGCTGTCTATCATAGCTAGCTATCTAGACAGACAGACAGACATATATAAAATGTAAGTTTCCACTCTAATGTATGGACGTTTGTTTTGAGTAAAGTGTTTGTTTAGTCTTTGCTTCAAAGGTATAATGCGCTGAAAGTGTTGGGGAGGGGGAGTATAAGAGAGAGAAAACAACAGATAGAGAGAAAAAAGATTTGTCACTCACAACAGTTAAAAGTTCTATTAGCATTAGCACTAAATAATAGTAACAGGGCAATGTTGAAGGTCTAATTGGACATTTCAGTTGCCAATCACAATCAGGGATTTGTCAAAGTCAACCTTCAAATTCCTGAATTTCTTCTGTTCTTATGCACATATGTCGTCGTTATTGCACATAGAGTTCTGTAAAAACAAAGTCAAAAGTGGACTTTAGGATCACTTGCACAGATTTTCCTGGCAGTCTGTCTGGAACGATATAGATAAAGAAAGTAACTGAAAATTAATTTAATTAAATTATTGATGAATTTATATAAATTCTAAACTTTACATTTAAAAAAACCCAAAGACACGCACACGATGATTGATTGTGATAGTAAACAGAACCAGGGGCCCTCAGGGCGGTTTTTGGGGCATGCGTCTAGTGGGCGTGGCTAACACCACTGTTAAGGTTTTAAATCCACACGTGGTCGGGGTGTTGGGACTTGTTTGGGACGGCGAGCGACTGCTGGAAACTTCTGACCGACTCATGCCAAAGGTGCTGCGCACGCCTATCGCTTTCGGGGGCAGACGGGACCAAGCGCGTTTTGTTTACAACTCGTCAAAATGCCATCTTACCCGAAACCCAACCAGTTTGCTGACCTGGAAGAGATGATGTGCAAGGTAAAGGATGGGGCGCCGCGTGAAAAGTTGAGCAAAAGTTGGCTCGTTCGCTTCAGGGAGTTAGCTTAGCTTAGCTTGGTTGCTAACTATATGCTACTTTCGCCTCTTATCTGCCGCTTTTTTAACATTTGAAACGTTTTATATCAGTTCTTTATTGTGTTTGTGTAGTAATAAACACATAAACGCCGAAGTGTTAACGTTTTTTCGCGAGTTTCGGTTAAATAAATTGAGTTCCGTTTATTTGAAACTAACTGCACTACGTGCGAGTGGTTTTGAAGCTAACTTATAAACCAATCGCAGCGTGTGACCAAAACGTTTTGCCGAAGTTGCTAATGTGTTCATTTAGGCTTAGTTGGTCGAGTTTAGTTTAAGAAACAAGCACAAGTAGTTGTTGAATGTTTTAGATTGTCAACGGCGACTAGGGAAAAAAACAACGTCCTCATTCAAAACAACATGATACACAAACTGTTTATCATCGACGTAGCGCGAGTTGTCAGACAGAGTGGAACAAACCCGTCTGTGAATAAATTTAATGGTGATCTACGGTGGCTAATGCATAAGCTGACGACAGGTTGAACGGCTCATTTTGTTACATGTTATTACATGTACAAGATTATGCCCTTGTCAGATGATAACAAACATTACGGTTATATTTTGTTTTGGTCGATTTTAATCGTTATTTACCAGCATTTCATGATTTCTTAATGTATTTTGGTTAAAAATTACCGTACACCATCTACATATTGAAATATTTGTAGTTGTTGTTTCTGTTAATGTTATTCATGGCTTATAATGCTAATATTTCTGGCAAAAACAACAAAACAAAAACACCACAGGGAATAACAATCTAATTTTGTTTTCTGTTGTCTTGGTAACCCGTGTAGTTTGCTCTGCTTGCTCTTGAACACAAGATTAGGAGATAAAAGGATATCACATTAAGGCATAAACATGCTTTAAGTCCTTTATTTCATTTCTTTGTTTAAAAAATGTTAGGCTTAAAACCTGCAACTGACAACATGCTGTGCACTCATAAACTGCATTCAAACGTCAGTGGAGATTGTTATCGTAACAGTTGGTTATCAATGTCGCATAATTCTCAGCACTAAGAGAAGGGTTTGAGACTGAAAGCTATAGGTCATATTTTTCAACTTATTTTCATGATTAAACATGTTATGGTTACACTATCTTTTGCGTTTCACAGGGTGCAAAAAAGTAATTATTCACAAGACTGTAATTGTTTTACTGGAAAAAATACATTACATAGGTTGGCTAACCACAGCTGCTATGGTGTAAAACAATACTGTATGATCACCATGCGTATTAGATGTGACAACAGTTAAAAGTGTCTGTTTTGTGAACCTCTTGTCTTGAAAAGCTATCCTAGTTATGTTGTAAATATGGTCATGAAAAGTACCTCTATATGCATTACTGCAATTGTCTGCTGTTAAATGATATATTAATTATATGGCCGTTCTCTGATTTTGTTAACACAGCAATTACTAAGTCTTGACCTGAGGGAACCCAGCAGACAATTGCCATCCCTCAGTCTGCCAATGAGAACCGCGGGATACACCAACCAGTTGCACAACAAGACATTTTCCCTCTCATCTCTATCCTGCGATTCCTCAGAAAGTGCGTATCTCACCTCCAGCCAATGGGGACAACAGCCAGAAAGTCCTATAGCCTCGCAGCTCACGGGTTCCTCCCTTTGGGGGAAGTCGGCCTTCTTTGCCCAGCGCTCTGTCAGCATGGTGGAGGGCAGTAGCGGCACACCAGCAGGTCTCGGCTGGCCTAGGAATGATATGAGACTCCCTCAAAGTGACATCAGCCCCACTGCACTAAACACTGGCTCCTCTTTATCCACCTCCTCCCTCAGCTCGTCCTCCTCCTCTTCATCACGCTATAAGACTGAACTTTGTCGCTCCTTCACAGAGAGTGGTTTGTGCAAGTACGGTGGGAAGTGTCAGTTTGCCCATGGTCCGGAGGAGCTGCGGGATCTCAACAGACATCCCAAGTACAAGACCGAGCTGTGCCGCACATTTCACACCATTGGCTTCTGCCCCTATGGAATGCGATGCCACTTTGTCCACAACAGCGAGGAAGAAAGGAAGCAATCCATCTCTCGTTCCTCCTCATCTTCCTCCTCCGGCTCCTCCTCAAGCATCCCCCCACAGCCACTGTGCTCCTCAAATCCAAATCGACCTCCTCTCGTCAGACAGAGCTTCAGCTTTGCGGGGTTCCCCTCTCCCCTTGTCGCTCCCCATTCTTCTGCCACTCCCACCTCCTTTGCACCTGCTCCTTCTGCCTCTCGTCCATCTTGCGCTGATATCTCTGACCTCCTCTCCAGTGCCTTCCTGGACATGGACTCTGCCTTCGAGCCCTCACCTGCGAACAAGTACCAAGCCCTTGGGTGTCAGACCGTGACGGCAGATCCTCGTTCTCCATTTCTGCCCTCTCCAGATTCGGGCTGCTCTCCCTGTGGCATCTCTCCAACCGGATCCCCTTCCTTGAGGCTGAGTCCTGGTGCCACCGGGGTGTTTTCACAGCCCCTTGGTGCCAGATCCCTGTCCTATACCTCCCTGTCAGACCAGGACCAGGATCAGGACCAAGACGGTGGCAGCTCTGCCAGCTCGCTTAGTGGCTCTGACACCTGCAGCGGTGTGAGCGAAGTCAACGGGAAACGTCTGGCCGTGTTCAGTCAGCTCTCTGTTCCTGACGACTCTGCTGGGGTCTGCCTTTAAACCACAGTGCCACTGAAAATCACAAGCACCGACATTACTAACAGACTCCATATATTTTTCTACACAATATGTTCAGCAAACGTGAATGTGATAGATTTGTTATACTAACAGTTTGACCATTTATATTTTAATACTTTTTATGGAAGTGGCAGATTTAAATGTAAGGCAATACTGTCACCTTTATTTGTCCTCAGCTATTCAATTGCTCTTATTCTACTATCCATTGACATCTCCCTAGTGAGGTCGCGACAAAGCCAAAGATGTCCTCGGTGCTTGAGGTTATGGTGGGATAAATGGAACCATGTGGCCTGTGTCTATTTCATTTGCTATTATTTATAAACACACAGTATCTGGCTAATAGGCTGGTGATTTTTTTTTTTTTTTTTCCTTTTTCAAATAAGTACAGTTTTTGATCACAGGTTTCACATTGGGATTGTTTTTTTTGTTTGTTTTTGTTTTGTTTTTTTAAATATACCACACTTCCTCTTTTGTCAGACAGATTGCGTTACTGTTAAAATCAAGAGTTGCTGCGTTGTCAGGAAGAAAATCCGAAAGTTCTTTTATATATATATACATATATATAAATTTTTTAGTCGAATAAGCTAGTGTGTTTGTTCAGGTCTTTATTGATGTTCATACAGTAATAGCAAACTTCTTTTTTTTCTATTCTTGTGCCTTGTTAACAAACTGCCATCATTGGGGAGAAAAAAAAAATCTAAATTGACAAATCAAATCTGCCTTAAAAGAAAAGCCTTGTGGGCTCGATCAGACTTTCTCAAATCCAATGCTCATGACACATCATTATCTGTGTGAGATGCCAACGGTGAAAAACAGGAGTTTTGAAACATGATGTTATGTCAGAGAAAATCCCCTTGGGAGTTTATAGGAATCTGAAGAGTAGACTTTACATTTACCCTTTTTTAAGTCTGCTCAAACACCATCTGAGCTGTTTATACATCTGGCAAGTTGAGTTAAAACAAATGATCTGTAATACTTTGCATTTCCTCACATGCACACATTCCCAAGAGTTTTATTTTCTCCAGCATTGTGCACAGGCAGCACTAATGTGACATTGTCGAAGACACGTTTTTTCACGACCAATCTTCTTTTTGCGTCATATTTCAGTATTAACTGTTCCTGTTCTGGCTTTATACTGTTACCGGTGTGAAGGGAGCCGCAGCCACACTCCCGTGTCCATTGCCTTATTGCGCTCACGACATCGGGATATAGTAACGTTAGGGTACGTCTTCTTAGCCTTTTAGAAATGTTTTCCCAGCTGTTCCATGTGTTTTGATCCTAGTTTTGTTTAGAAGAGCAGCGACTGTAACCGTTGCCGGTCTATTTAAAAAAAAAAGTTGCCTTTTTCATCTGACATGTTTCAGGCCTGTTCAATGGTAAAGGTGATAAATCTTTAGTAAATTAATTTCTTTAATTTATTTTAACGTATTTATAGTCTGAGTTGTTGTTAATGCTTGTATCAAGTTTAATATATTTTGGGTTTTTTTTTTTGTCTTTTTGTACTTGAAATAAAGTTTAGTTGTTTTTTTTTTATGACCTTGTTTCATTGATTCTTTTTTCTTTTTAATGAAGAAATAAAACCCGCAAACTTTTTTTCAACTTTCCCACAAAGTTTTTCCTATTTCTTTGGGCTTAAATAGCTTAAAATAAGTTCTGACATTCTTGTGGATATTATATCTAGTCATCCAGGTCATCATAACAAGTTAAGCTCTGACATTATTGTTGGCAATACTAAAGAGAATACAGTGTAAGACTAAATAAAAACAATCGTTTTAGTGAAAATCAACAGTTTGTTAAAATGGGCTGCACTTCATTTTTTAAGATATCTTTACAATGTGAAATAGAGGACTAAATAATGTGATTGGAGCTATGGTCTAAGTAATAAATGAAACAAAGTTGATTTATTCTAAGATATCTTTACAATGTGAAATAGAGGGGAAAAAAAAAATTACAGGGATGAAATGGAGCGCACGTAGTTGTTGTTCTTTAATAGTATTGGTGCTTTTGTTTTGTCCCTCAACTGTATTTCGAGACACAAGCAAGCCTTTGAACACATTTTTCACTTCGAGATTCAAGCACAGTTACAGACACCGACGCTATGTGGACGAGCACTCAGAGCAGCCCACGCCTTCTTGTTTCCTCCGTACTGTCATTTCCCAGTCATCTATGTAGCTTCCCTGGTCTATAGCTGATTCTAAATACCTAATCACCTGAAATCCCTGTGCTACGATTCCAGTACACCGCTGCGTTCATTTATATAAATACTCAATTGTAAGTGGGCCAAAACATTTTATTGAGTATTTCTTTAGTGACATGTTAGCGACGTCATTAAGTTGTGGCCGTCTAGGACTTTTAAGATTAAATGTTTTTAGGTCAGCCTCGCTAAAGCTAAGCTAGGCTAACTGCTAACACCCACAACGTTCATGTTGTTGTAAATAAATAACATTTTTTTAAAAAACTTATTTTTTACTCTACATTCGGCATAAAATGTTGTTAAAGTTTTACACTCAAGTGAAGTAATGTATAGCATATTAAATGTTTTGGTAAAGTTTTTTTTCTCTGTCCCACCCACTGTGCTGTAGTGGCGACCATGGAAGAGGGTGTGTGCTCTCACCCACTAAGATTCCATGTGGAGATAAGAAGTCTTTTATTTGGGGTTTAATCTTCCCAAATACTGGGATCCTTCTCATTTCCCTTCTCCCTCACTGCCTCCAGTGATTCCACCCTCTCCCTCTGACTGTGTTTCTCCTTTGCTGCAGTCAAACAGCTCAACGCACCAACGGTAGTTTAATCTGCTATAACGAGAATGAACGAACTTTACTGGAATGTAAATACGAATTAAAGAAAAGAAGAAGAAAAAAACATCCTCTGTTGGGAACAGGTTTTGCATAAATGCATAAAAGCCCCATTATTTTCTTGGCCACTGTTAACATCAAATGGGTCACTGTTGTCTGGAGATGATTAGTGGCTGTTAAGGGGTTAAAGGCCTCTGTATGTGTGAGTATGTGTGTGTGTGTGTGTGTGTGTGTGTGTGTGGACCTCATTGTGTGTGATAGGCATTCTCCCACACTCCTGCCCTGTGGGACATAGGAAAAGCAGGCAGATGGCTGCATTCAGGTCCACTGCGGGTCAACATATGGCCCCAAGAGACAAAGTTTATGTTTGTGTGTAAAAGAGTGAGCAACTTACTCTCAACTAAAGCTGGCTGGGTTTAATGGTAGGTGAGGAGAAGAAAGAGAGAGAGAAAAGAAAAGGACGAGAGTAAAACTTTTGACAAAGACTATGTAAAATACACAAAGAATGAAGAGAGTTTTTTAAAAGTACATGTGAGCTCCTTGGCCCAGACGGTGGCACGAGTTTCCCTCTGGCATTTGTACAAATAATGAGTTGAGTCATCATATAAGTCTATACTTGAAACTGTTAATGCCTGACATTGTTGTGACATTACAACTTTAGTCCTGTAGTCTGCTCTTCTTTCATATTGTATTTTTTTTTTTAATATTTTTGCTCTTATTACATTGACTTGAATGTTAAAAATGTTGATTAAATAGGATTTAACTTTATTGATACCACACTTGGGGAAATTAGATGCTGATCTAGTTTTTTTTTAGACAAATCTAGCAACTTAAAAAAGTGTAAGTCTTTTTTTTTAAAGAGAAACATTAGTTTTGTTTGCCTTTTTTTTTGAAGAGTTGGTTACAACAAAAACCTTCACCATAGTTGATTATCTCAACTTTACCTAGCTTTAAGCTAATATTAAAAGAATTTAAAAAATCCTTCAAACCTAAAAATTCAAACTGTAAAACAACAACAAAAACATCAGGCATATCCTTTGCAATGCCATTGTATACCACTAGGGACTAGTAGGATTTTTATAGGGAATAATTTGATTTTTTTTTTTTTACTTTCTTCTTTCCTAGTTTCTAGAGAAAATGTAATTCAACAAGCCTTTTGAAAAATTCATTTATATCCCATCTTAATCTACATCAACAGCTTTTGTATTCATTTACCACCGGTTGTTTCAAATAGCAACAAGTGATTTCCCATGAGCTGCAGGTGAACCGTGGGCCGCTTCAGTCAAACCAGAACGGTCCAGATGTCGCTGTCGTTTTCTCACACTACAAAAGAAACTGTGCACCTTGTTGCTGAATTGTAGCAAGTCATCAGTTTGAGGGAGTGGATGAATTCTGGTTTTACTTGAACATACCCCCTCAGCTCCCTCCCCCTCCCCTCACCCCACCCTCCCCAACAGGTCCTTTTGACTTGTTTTCTTTCTTTCCTCATCGTCCCCCAATCTCCTCCTCCTCCTCCTCCCCCTCTGCTCCCTTCCCTGCCTTCCTTCATTCACCGCTCCTTTTTGTGAGCGAGTGTCTCGGTGACATTGTGATGCAGGCGAGAGTGGAGGGAATGGGAGACATGCTGTGAAGAGGAGCACAAAACAGCTGTTGCAGAAAGACTCACTGTCTCCACCTTCTCTCATTTTCCACAAATATACCTTCTTTTTTTTTTACTGCACTGCACTTCACTCCACTCTGTACCAGCACCAATACATTCACCTCACTTTTTTTTTTAATTTTCCTTTAGGTCTCTTTTAGCTCCTTCTTTTCTCTCTTCTTTCCCACTCCCCGAATCTCCTCCTCCACTAACTTTGTATAATTCCACCCCCTCCGTCTTTCTCTCTAATCCCTCCCTCCCTCTGATTTTTTTTCTTCTTTTAGGAAAGGATTTAGGCTAAGTGTTTAATGGGATGCAACAAATGGCTCAGAGAGTGGGCTGCCCTGCGCTGTGCAGTTATTCAGACGGTTTTTTTTTTCTTTCTTTTTTTTAAACTTTTTCTTCACTTGATGATAACGTCTTAAAGAAGTACAGTCCATTGAAGGACAAACGTCGCAAATGAATGTAGAGCGAGTGCAGAGGGATTTCAAATCAGGCTTTGGGTTTTTTTTGTGGGGGGGGGGGGAACTCCAAAGCTCATTCAAGGACACTTGTGCTGAGGGCCTCTCTACCTAGGAACTGAAATGACCCACTTCAGGTTCTACAGTAGAGAGTGGTGTATTCCAAAGTACTTTTAAGGGTTGGTGATGTTGCATTTTTGCAAAGAATGTGAAACTACAAGCAAACAATTTCAAAGGTGCAGTGCTGTGACTTAAAGCTCTGACTCCTTCGTGCATTAAACCCCCCAGATCAGATGTTTTCCTCTTATGCAATCAATGCCACCCCTTCTCCAAGACCCCCACTCACTTTTAATCTCTTTCACCACAAAAGCCAGACTAACCCTGATGACATCACTGGGGTCAGATGTCGAGGCCTTATTTTAAGGGCCTGTTTAGGATGCAGTCCAAGTCTCTCCTCCTGATATTTTTAAGTGTACATTGTGATAGTTGTGTTGTTTTTTAAATTGTCAGTGAAAAACTAAGACTTTGGATGTTATGGTATTTCATACACGGACCTCCAGTAATAGTCTGGTTTGATTGGTTGCAAAAGTTTGACTTTTTATCACCATCCAAAAAAGCAACTTTAGTTTTGGAATAAATATTGTCCTAAAATTGAACAGGGGGGCCGGGTTAGAAGCAGATAGATGGAACGTTCATGTGAACTAAGATAAGGGACATGTGGAAGTCATGCATATAGGCTGAAATGCTATCATCATTTTGTACGCCTTGTATTGGGGAAACGTGGGCATTGAAGGGAAAAGGCAGAAGTATAATGATAATAGAAATACATTATATAATTTGGAAAAGTTTGGCAGGCCAGATTAAAAAGCTGAATGGGCAGTATCAGGCCCCGGGCCTTAGTTTGCCCATGCCTGTACTAATGTGTAATGTTGTGTATAGTAACTTTGCTTTATTTTTGTGTTTAAATGTCAGGTACACACAGTCTACTTAAAGATTTACAAACTCTGTTCACTGTTCATATTTTTTTAATATAAATGAGTTAGGCAGACATTATTTTTCTGTTTTTTCTTAGTATGCAAATATATTTGGGGAAATAATATACTTGAATTTGTTTATGCAATCATGGATTTATTTTTATACCAATGACTCAACATGCAACACAATTTTTTTGCACTGTACAGAAAAGTTTTTTTCCCACTTTGAGTTACTTCTTTAAATGTAAATTAAATTCAATATCATCATCAGAGATGTAACAAAACAACAGAGAAAACAGGAAACGGTAAAAGACCAAACGAAAAAAAAAAACACACGGATGACTCCATCTAGCGGCAGACATAGGTAAATATATGAGAAATTCGTTATCTTCACCTCTCTTATTTTAGCTCAATATGTTTATCTAATACGAAAAAGAGTAGATGATAAATAAGATAAAACAACATGTGCCACCGTGTACTGTGGTGTTCATAGACTTGTTTTTTCACAAGCGATAAATATAAACAAGAATCCAACAACTTTACAGTTTACATATCTTAAGACAAAATGTAAATGTCGGTACAAAAATGTAAATCTAATACGTTTTAAAGTTAAACCCTGAAAGTACACATCACTGTACATAGGGTGAGTGGTGCTCTGGAGGTAGCTGTCATTCCACTTTTATTCATAGAAAAGTCATGTCTCAAAACATTACATCTAATGGTTTAACCTAAAGTTTTTATGATAATGATGTAATGGTGTGTGGAATAACAGAAAAATGTTCTGGCAGTTAGGCTAAGCCAACGCATTGGTCTCTACTATTTAACAACAGAGCAATGTCAACCAAGAATTGAAACTGCTTCTAATTCACTTTACACTCACATTAACATTATCGTTTTCACACCACAAGAAGCTTGTCAAGCTTGGGCTATTCATTTTTTTTTAGCTTAAATGTTAGCGTAACTTGACAGATGGAACCATAACCTAATTCACGTTCAAAAGACAAGAACATGACATCTTGTCTCTACAGAATACAGAGGTTGCTTTTTTTTGGCAAATTCTATCTCCATCTTTCCTGTGCTTGAAACCAGGGCAGTGTTTGATTCCATCGATGGTTTGAACACACGGTAAAGGAAAGTGCAGATCCATACTTGGACCAGTCTGTCCCAGCATCAGGATGGTGAAGATGATCAGGTCACAACTTTTGAATCACTACCTGGAACTTACCTGACAAAATGAAAAACAGTCGAGGTTAATGTTTTTGAATTAAATTGTTAAAATTAGAGTTGTAACGTAATTTATTTTTGTATTAATGTATTTTTGGATAAAATGACCTGAGTGACTGGGAACCTATGTAGACAACCTGTAGTGAACATTTGTTTGCATGTTGCATTGCTGTAAAAGTTTGCGTGATTAGTTGGGTACATCTGTCATACTGGGCATACAGTTCGCTTATTCTGCGTACCCTCAGCTTGGAAATCAGGGGATTACTTTGCTCAAACGAGCGGTGCTTTGTTTTGTAGTGCAGTACTGGAAGAATTAACATAAATCTCACTGTAAATACATTTTCAAAACAACTGTTTTCCTCATTGACCTTATTTCTTTTGGAGCTAGCCATACTGTCATCGCTTTCTCATTCTCTCTGCTCTGGTACGCTGGCAGCGCAGCGTAAACAAAGGATTTGATTGATCTAATCTCGCACATTTATCAAAATTTGGTCAGACTGGGACCCACTATTTGGTGGTGCATTGACATAGTCTAACTTACAGGAGGGCATGACAGCGACTTCTGCTGTCACAACACTGTCCAGGCCGAGGTTTGACAGAGCTCCTCTCACCATTCCACAAGAGAATGCAAGGTGCTGAGAGAAGACACACAAAATAACCTTAGATTAGGTCTTGGATTTCTGTGGCATCAAGTGTGTGTTTAAGTAAATGGAGCAAATAGACTGACCTTAGGAGCATGATCCAGATACTGTTTTCCATTTGAGAGCTGAGTCAACATAGTAAACTTGTTGTCCTGGAGAACATAGGTTCCCTAGGGTGGAAAATAAAGATTAATTAACATTTCTGTAGGTTCCCTAGGGTGGAAAATAAAGATGTGGTAATTAACATTTCTAAATTCATCAGTTATGTTTCCACATTATTATGTGGATTAGGGTAAAGTGGATCATACCATTAACACAACATTTGTGATGCTCTGACACTTTCTCGTCATCTTTTATTTTACCTGATGATTTGTTCTGAGGTTGTCGATCTGTCTCCTGAACACCTTGGTCCAGAAGTCTTTGCAGATGAATTTCATTATGTCCAGTTCATCTTTAAAGCTGGGAGAGTCCCTGGTCAACCTGGACAAAAGAATGTCATCTCAAAAGACGTGATGTGAAATGTGATACTGATTACATTGACCTTAGCTCTGCTCAGTGGGTGGTAAATAAAGGAGGTTTTTTTAATTTATATATGTGATTGTCCCACTGTGGCTTCTCCCCCCTCAAAGGATCAACTGTTATCTAGTGACGGAAAATAATTGATGTGGACATGAATTTACATTGAATTAATTTTCTAGGAATAAATACTCAGAGTTTACTACATTTTATGTGGTACCAAGGGAAAAAGTATAAAATACTAAACGTGTCCATGTACCTCTCGATGAGTCCTTGTCCCACTCTGAACCCCATGCTTTCGAGGACGGACACGCAAGCAGCCCTGTCCTGAGAAAATACATAAAACGTTTTTTTGTTTTTTTTTTACCGTACAATAATGTACGTGGACAATGTATGGGTTTTGTTTTTGTTTGTTTTTTAGCTTTTTACTGCACACACCTTGTTGTCCATTTGCATCTTGTTGGACTGTTGTTCTTTATAGACATTGGACACCATCTCCATATGGAGAAACTCAAACAGCACCTCGTCTGTCATTCCGGGCCAGCACACGGTTGATTGTTCACACTGCGCAAAACACGGTTACATCACATTTATTACAGCAAATCTATTTTTGCTTCAACACTCTACGTAAATGTCTAACAATACCCTTTGAGGGAGATTAGCATATCCTACATACAGATAGCTTCAGATAGCAAGTGTTGCATGCTAGCTAGCCATGTCGAGGAGGAGGTTTTTTCTCCTGAATAGCCATATGCATGCTAGCTAGCCATGTCGAGGAGGATGTTTTTTCTCCTGAATAGCCATATGTGGAGTAGCAATGCATTTGTTTGTTTGTATCGCACTTTTTTTGTAAATAACTGGGAGACAACGCAGCGGCTACCATACCTGTCAAATGTCCGTGGGTCAGGAAGTAAACACTGAACGACTTCCCAGGTGTCGCTCTACATAATCACCAGAACGGCTCTCGGCATCCACTTCGGCGGAGACCTCAGACTTATCCGCTCAAAAGAGGTACAAAATGTGTATGTCATGGCACCAAAATACTAAAACTGTACTATTATATTGAAATGTATTAATTAAGCCAATGTATACAAAATTTGTAAAACGTGTATGGCAGTAATTAAATTACCGACGGGTTTATTTGCGGTGTACGCCGGCCATCATAACAAGCCTACTCATGATTCGCGCACCACACATCTTCCAATCGTATTTTTAAACGTCATTGATCACATGATATCCGGCGAGACGGCACTTCCTGATTTCTCATGTGATTTGTTTGTCACGACATAACTGGGACGGTTTAAAATTCTGTCGTCGTTTTTTGAAAGGTTTGTCAACATTTCACCTAACCATCACTTTACCAGAAGCTAAACATTTACGACTATTATTATAATTGTACTTATTCTGATTTAGTGTTTTAAATGCAACTGACGACGTTCTTTTGTACAGCCATGTCCAGTCGGTACCAGATTGTAGTGCAAGGTGAAGCATCTGAGACAGACTCCGACGATGAAGTCTACATCACTTCTCTGCCTCCTCCTCAGAGTGCCACGGGTGGAGCCAAGGTGGGTGTGTATGTGTTGGACCGTGCGTGTAAATTGCATCATGTTTCCAAAATGTTGATATAAATTCACACCGGGGTTGTGATCTCGGGCGATTCCAGGTTCCCGGTGAAGCCTCTGAAACAGACAGTGAGGAGGACGTAGAGCCGTCAAACCGAGCCACAGTCGTGAGTCAGGACAGCCCCCAGATTCTCAGGCGAGACCTGCCTCCTTTGATTGTGGTCAGAGATCATCCTGATATACAGTCCGTCGTTGAGGACAGACCAAGTCCGACTCACAGGGCACATGGTTAGAAAAACAAGTCATCATTACAAAAATAGTTATGCCAGTGTTAATACTTATGGCTCACTTTAAATTAAGAAATATAGTAAGGTGAAGTCAAATTCCAATCCATGCATTTATTCCATTCTATTTCAAATATCTTTGGTGTAAAAATTAAAAAATTGAAATAATTTCACTTATTATTTAAAGCAATTAACCTAATTAACTTTTAATTAACCCAAATATTTCCCACCCCTCCAACTGCAGCTCCTGTGCTATAGAGTACTATTTCTAAATACTTTTTGAGTGGTGTTTATTTCTATTTTAAAAGCTGTGTCAAGCACTTTTGAATGACATTTGTCAAAGTCAATAACAAAGCATATTTTTAAATGTCTTTTTCTTTTTTTTTTTAACTTCCTCAGGTGAAACGCTTTTACAACATAAGCTACAGGAGTCCAACAGTCGGCTCTATAACGACGTCTCACAGACACTACGGCAGGTTTACAGCGGGGCCACCAAGGAGGTTGGTGATGTGTCTGACACTGCAAGAATAAAAAAGATATTTATAGCTGTAATTACTGATGAGGGCTATTTTAAGATGACATCAAAGAGTGTATCAAGTAGAAAGATGATTAACATAATGGGTACAAATGACACTAAGGGTGCCAAAAATAGAGTAGAATGGCTTTATTTTCTGTACAAAAGAATTGCATTCAAAGCTGTTGCTGAAAATGTTAAAATGAAGACAAGTGTAGAGAGAGAAGGTTAGTGTGTAACTTGTTGTGTCATGATACTGTTTTTGTGAAAGGTGCGCAGTGCCACCGCTCAGCTGAACACGTCGCAGAGCGCCATCATCAATGCCTCTCACAGCATCAGATTGATTCTGGATGACCTGAAGGCTGTTTCTGAGAAGATTGATATTATCACGAGCTGTCAAATACTGCCGGACATTAACTTCAGTCATTCCAACACTGACACAGTTGCGGCTCCTTAAAGGAAACAGGAGCAGTGTAAGCCTCCATTATGGCTTCAAACATAATAAATGGACACTACTGATGTGGAAAAAAGAAAAAAAGAAATTACAGTCACTTGATACAGTATATCATGCATTTATTTTATTTTGACCAACATTCAGCCTGTCTTAGTTCTGCAAAACAAAAATCACTTAAAAAATATTGCTATGTAATTTACGTTTTGTACAAACATTTCAGTTAAGACTTTTTGTTTTTATTGTAAGTACAAGTATTTTATGTTATATCAGTTAAGACTTTTTGTTTTTATTGTAAATACAAGTATTAGTAAAATATGTTTTACATTTCAAACCACAAGACTGATTCAATTTTCTCTCAATACTCCCCCCTTCGGTAAAATGGTGAAACAATAAAGACTGATTCAATTTTCTCTCAATACTGCCCCCTTTGGTAAAATGGTGAAAAAATAAACAACAATAAAATATTAGGATTTAAAAACAGTGTTTTTGACCAACACTTGAGAAATTCAAACTACTTTTTCAGTCAAACGCTGTTATCCCATTCATGAAACTATATTTCATATATTTTATAGCATATGTCATAACACGGGAAATTAATTCAGTCACATTCAGTCTGTGTGCCAGTGTCTGTTTACATTGAATAATTGCACAATTTAGAATCGATATTATCGTAATCTGAGAAAACAGTGTGTTCTGGACGGTGTTTTTGAAAGTTGTGTCACTACCTTACAGATCTCCACAGACAGTAAAAGACTCCAGCTTTAAGGTGAGCTAAGTTTTCCTACAGACGTAATTGTTTTACTTAATAACCTTCACGGTGATGGGACCGAGGTGACGGGAGCTGAAGGTACGTCGTCACGGGGAGATTGTCTTTCAAAGCAGCCTGTCGGCTTTCCGTAGTCCAGAAATGTCACTATAAATGCACCTCTCGCTGCGCAGGTGTTGACACGTTAGACAGGCATATAGGTATAAACCAGCAGCACCACCACCACGTTGAGAAAAGAGGCCACAACACCAACAAGGTCAAACAAATGGTCGGTGTCCACCTCACAGTGTGTAGTCAATTCGGGAGGCGTTTGAACGGCCATGTCCACCTAAATGAAACAAAAAAAGGTAAAATGTATTTTCATACTTCGTCCATCTGATGGCGCCATAACGCAACCCTTTTTTTTCTGCCCCTGCAAAGCTCTTCTATTTAATCAAGCTCATTGGTTGTTTGTCGGAAATATATGTAGCAGTGCCCTCTGAAATAATAAAATAATATTCGGGATAGTTTTAAAGTCGTAAATGTTGACAAAATATAGAAAAGATGGAGAAAAAACAGTTGGAGTAAAAAAACGGTATGTGGTAAAACATCTTAAGCTAGCCAAGAGCAAAGAGGAGTTTGCAGATATAGCTACCTGTTAGCCAAGATATAAAGCGAAATGGACTAGAACGATATAAGGAAGTGGTTTTAAGTTTAAAAGATGACAATAAAAGCTGAAGATTGAGAGGAAAAAAAAGTAAAAACCTAAATTGGCAATACATGATACCTTTTCAGAAAATTGCTATCTATATTTAAATACATTGTGTCTCCCAATAACGTTTAAACAAAATTCAATGTAATTAAAGACACATGAACAACAACCTGTTAAATATTTTTTATCCTGACTTGTTCGTCAACCGTCACCACCTTATTTACCTCGTTGCTTTCTCCCAATTCTGTCGATAAAGGAGCCTCCATTTTTCTGCCTCCAAACTCAATTATGGCAAAGTTGCTTTGAACTTAGTCCACTCCTGTCTTGGCCCTAAAGTTGTATGACTACGAAGCACCAATGGTTACTCTGAAAAGTGTCGTCTGCATCTCCGTCCCTCTGGGTTTCAGAAACCAACAGGTTTGTGGATAGGTGAAAGAATAAGGTGTCACACTTTTTTTTCGGCTGCATGGTTTTATGACAGGATGCTCAGCTGTCAGGCCACTAATTTTGGTCAGGTCACGAACTGTTGCATTGTAGCTGTGTGTGCTGTGGATAATGTTACTAAAGGTTGTAAAGAGGGCTCAAATACTTACTGTGTACTGTGCTGGTATTACTGTGAATGTGAACAGTGTATAGTGTTATTCGTATAAAGCTCCATGAATAAGCACAGAGTGAACGTACGTTTGCTACATGTCTGAATTTTAAGCAAACAAAAATTCTGATGAACAAGATCCTCTGAGACCTAATTACACACAGGTGAAGCTAAAGGGCAGAGGTGAGGTCATTGAAATGACCCCTTCGGGGCACTTTTCAATTAATATAAATAATTACTTGGAAATAATAACCTCGCGTAATGTGTGCAAAAATAAATCAAATAAAACATCTCAAGCATTTAATGTGCAATAAAAAGCTCCAAAATTACAAGCAACAATGTAATAAATTATATCTGTTTCAAACAAAACCAAAAGCTGATGCATTTGTTAAAAAAATACAATTCTACTAAATGTATGTCATTGTTTATTTTCTTTCTAAGTCTTTTAATCGTCTACCTTTGTCATTTAAAAATTAGTAATAAAAATAATTTTATGTCTCACATTGGGGAAATAAGTCGAGTGTGAGTCTTTGCAACCAACGCAGGCTGCCACAGGAGGCGCCATTAAGCACGTTGTTGCAACTCACAGGCGCCATTGGAATATATAGTTCCTTTGGGAAAATTAAAGATTTCTTTAAATTTAATCAAAAACAAATAGCCAGGTCAGAAGGTTTGTCATCATCTTAGGTGACCATACAGGGGTGGTAAACATTTAATAAATTCATCGACACCTCTCCTGGGACGCAGGCACAGTGACTATAATGAGACCACAGGGAAGACCTGTATATGTAGGCGGTGGAGAACACACCAAGTTGTGGTCCTTTTTTTCATGGGTATTTATACGATTGTTTTTTGTTATTGTAGACGAGAATCGTCTGTAGGATCAGCTGCAGTGACTGAGCCCCAGGCTGTGGAAGCAGCAGAAGTGGTGAGTACAGTACAGTTAACTGGCATAGAAGAGCAGACACAAAACCACACAGACAAAGACAAACAACACACTGTCAGTGATAGTGATGAGGAAGATTTTAACCCCACAGTCATACTTAGATACGAAGATGCAAAGACTATTCCTTTACAACTTAATAATTTAATAACAAATACATAAATTGTCATCTGGTATCATGACAAACCTGTGAAATATCATTTCAAGACAAGTTTTGATTATAAATCATCAAGTAAATACATAAATTGTCATCTGGTATCATGACAAATCTGTGAAATATAATTTAAAGACAAGTTTTGATTATAAACCATCAAGTAAATAATAATAATAATAATAATACCACAATAACAACAACAATAATATAAATAATGATAATAATAATAATTAGAGTACTAACTCATTCTATCCTCTGCTAATAAAGAAATGAGAACTGTTTAAACTTACTGCCATTTAATTGGTTAAAGATAAACACATGGCTGTTAAACAGAAAATATTCTGACATAGACAAAAAAAAAGCACATCCAAAAAGTCACATATGAAGCAATCGTTGATGTCTTGCCAAGGTGTCAAGATAGGGTAATAAAGTTATGACTCACTCCCCTGCAATGAATCTAGCAAGTTTACAGTATAACCTTTGAATTGAAAAAAAATTAAAAAATCTTTCTTGTCGTAATTTTCAAAAGAACGTTCGGTTCTCAGATCTGCTTCCTTTCAGGAAAATGTAAATTCCCCAGCAAACGTAAGCTGTTGAACTCATGTCTTCTAGAATGTGTTAATGAATCCATTCAAGAACGTTCGGTTCTCAGATCTGCTTCTCCATTTATGTTAGACTACTAAAATAATTTGTTTAGAAAAACAAAACATATATATGTATATATTTGTAGCATGTTATTAAGCTCGATGAAAAAGAATAGGAAATAGAGTCTCACTGTTGACAACAGAAAGAGTCCGTTGATTTGTTTGTATAAATTCCACTACATGAAGTGGGCTGTCAGGGCTGCAGTACAGTTAGACTACAGAGTGTGTGTATTTGTATTTGTGTGTGGGTCTGTGTGTGCAGAGGGCAGTCACCCATAGTGGCCAGGTCAGTGACTGTCTCATGGGACGCCCGAGGACACACTGTTAGTTTATCTGGCTGGCTGAACACGGCAGTAGCCAACAGCACAGGTTTATTAGAAGCAGCGATGTCACTGATTAAGAGCAATGTGTCTGGATGATAACCTTATTTTTATATGACTTCTGTGCTGGAGATGACAGGGAATTTAAATACATCCTGATGAGGGAAACCCTTAGAGGAGCGTAAGGGAGAAGCAACTGCCGGCATTTTAGCAACTGCTAGCAGTTTAGTGTCTGACGCTGAATACACAAGGGGAAGGATTATAGTCTCTACTTTAATCTTTGACTGGTTCTAGTGACATCAGGGAATTGTTAACAATTTGTTTTGTTTTGTAAACCGATGAGAGTACACATTTGTTCATTTTTGTACCCGCCGACACTAAGTACTTCCATCGATACTTCTTTAGGATTGGTTTTAATAAATACAAAATATTTACTGTTGGTTACAGAGCAATGTGCAGTGTGTAGGTGTGAGGCAAGAAAATCCTTACAGCCAGCTGTACGTTTTTCTCATTTGCATTTAAGGCTATTCCAAGAGAAAACTGTTGTTAGTAAACAAATACATATAAATACTTAGACAAATACATAAATGAAACAAACAATAAAGAAACAAAATATATATATTTAAAATAAATTAAAATACAATTTTTAACATTCCGCATAGTTCAGCCAACAGAACAGAAAGTGAGCGCAGCTTTTTACACAAAATTCTCCAGTGTGACTTGAATACTGAACAGCAGTATTTCCACATATCAAAAAACAAATTAGCTTACAGGTCTGTGCCTCGTTTATTTACTGCACCATTAAAATGTGACTAAACATTAGCATATTAGCGCTATACATATTTTATACTTTTTTAATGGCTCTGTTTAGAACAAAAATGGCTCTCCCACAGGTTATTCTTCATGTTGGTTTTTATTGGCATTACAATATTGATAGTATAGTAATCATGTACATAAAAAGGATATCTGTCATGAGAATTTGTTTCATGGTTTCTTTTAAAGACTGTAACAGAACAATTTCTTCTTCAGCTTTGTTGGACTTTATAAGAGGTAAATGTTAAAATTGTATAATAAAATTACATTAAAACTACTGTAATGTTAATAAGTAAATAATCATAATCAGTTAGTGAATCGACCTTCAACAAATGGCAGTTGCCCAAATCACTGGTTCGTTGTGATAAGGAAAAGTTGAAGCCTAAAATACACTGTGCTTTATCATATTTACAAAAGAAAATTCAAATTAAAAAATTACAACAGTATTAGTGGTGGAGTTACATGTTTCTGTGTATATTTCCCGCCTCAAAAGTTAATCTAAACTTAATCCCAATTTATTATTTGTTATTCGTATTAGCTTGTTCTGGTATAACAACAAACAACAAATTATCCTGCGACATGAGTGAAAAAAAAACGTGTCCATCAGTCTATCATGAATACGTAATGATCTGTATAAACCTCTATTAACTTTTGCCTTTTTTTGTAATAAATAACCTTTTTGTTTTACAAATACTGTAAGACATTGTGTGTCAATGCCTGGTGAAGTTTTATTTCACTGAGTGCAATTAGGTTTTCAAATATTAAAATTGGCAGAAAATAAAGCTCTCTCAGTTGTTGCTATTCTAAAAATATTAGCTTTAACGTTGGCTTTTGGAAACTAGTGTTACTCAGGTGTAAGGCATCCTTACAACGGGTAAGAACTGAAAATAAGCAAATGGTCATTGTTATTAGAAACTGATTAAAATTTATGAAAAAAATTGTTTCTAGTTGTTGCTAGTATTGTAATATAGGTATTAATCTCAGAAACTACATGGCTGTCTTTTTTTTTCTAACTAAACATAAAATATTATTATTTTGGTATTTTTGGGAAATGTGTTTTTCATCACACAATACCACATGTTATAAAAGCTTTTAAAATATATCTTTTGTTCTCTTAAGAAAGGATGCCTTTTGCGAATGACCTTTTTCCTTTCATCTGAATTAACCCTGAGCTTAACTTCTAAATGATGTCCATTAGAGATTGTTTGCTAAAATCACATGCATCACAAAGTGGACATAAATATTACATTGGAATCATGGCATACACGTGTTTCACGGTTGCAGCTTCATTGATTGGAATGGACCTGAAGAAAAAAACTACTGCAGTGGATTAATTGGAAAAGAGAAGAAATTATGCAGTTTGTTGACAAATGTCAACTTGTTGAATTTGTCCCCTAAGCAGTTCCTTCCTTTTTTGGAAATAATTAATAGATCGTCTTAAGGGATAAAAATAGATTCTTAGGTGTAAGAAAATATACATTATTTATGTTTTTTTTTTACACACCAGACGTCTGGATATAATAACGCCATTAGTGCTGGCATTTCACAGACAACTGTATGATCATGTACACATCACGTTGTTTGATAAATTCAAATTGCCCTAAATGTATTTTAGAAGTAAACAGAAAAACAGAAAATAATATTTGATACTAGTTTCATTTTCCATTAAATTTTGTGGTATTTGTTTTCTGGTAATACTGTATCCCCATGTTGTAAGAAAAAAAAACTTCTTTTTTTTTAATTTCATGTTTGAGAGTTCTGTGAGTAAATTGCTATTTGGATTTTTTTAAATACTTTAAGTTAGAGACAGATAATCAGTAAGAAGTCATATACGAGGACGTGAACTCACAAACAGAGGGACTAAGGCTACTGTTACTGTGTTTTTTGAAGAACTAGAACTGATTATTATTACGTTTTTTAGGAAGTCTGTATCAAACAAGTAGCTCTTCGTAATTACTAAGTGCCTTTGAAGTAGCTCTCAGTTTCAAAAAGGTTGGTGACCCCTGCACTAATGGCAGTCGCATTCTAGAAATTCTGACTTGAGCAACAGGACTGGCAGTGTTAATGTAGCCAAAGCCACTATAATTAGCCTACGATACTTCACATTTGTCATGGGTAAACCAAGCTGCTGTCTTTCATATTGATCTCCATAATTTCAAGTGACTGTGGAAGTTCTCATCTGTGCCTTCTGCCTCTGCACTGGAGCGTGATTGGTCAAACCACATGTATAAACTGATGATCATTCCAACCATTTCTAAAATGTGGTGAAGGTTGCTTAAATCATTTTTTGAAAAACCAAAAGTAATAAACAACTGGCATAGAAACATAATGTGACAAAGGAACCAAGCAAAATTAAAGAACTTCATGTTTATTATTCATCGGACACCTCTGATTCGTATACGTATGTTAACTTTTGTTAGTCCTGTTATGAGCAGAAGATTATGAAATAGTCTCTAACATTTCAAGGTGATTTTAAGTTTTGTGCTGAGTAAAATATTAGCAAAGATTCATGGTTGTCTTCTCAGTACCATCCGAGATGATTAGCCCGATCATTTCCATCCCCTTGACACTTGTTGGGTTTGCGTTGCCTTTGGCGGGGTAGAGCTTAAAATGTACGTTGTGTCCATAGCAACGCTTCAGCTGGAATGTAGGAATGTTGTTTATTGTATTTGTGAGTGTCTTTCACCTGTCTTTGAGTACAATTTGTGGTTGTTCTGATCCACCACGAAATAGCAACGTCTCGGTTGGTGCAACATTGCGTCTTTTTCTCCCGTCTCTAATCACGATCTGTGCTTACGTTTTTGAGCGTTGTTGGCCCAGTAGGCAGTGCGTCAGTCTCATAATGGGAAGGTCATGACTTCGACCCTCAAACGGGGCACGTGTTTTGGTCGGATCCAGAGTGTAGGGGTTGGCACGCCTGTCTCGGAAGCAAAGAGCAGAGTGTCCTGGGTTCCATTTCCAGAGGAACCACATACTTGGTGCCTGCCAGGGGCAGCCTGTTGCAGTAGATCTGCTTTGAAGAATTTCCCAAATATCGGATCAATAAAGTTCAAA